TTTCCTCATTGGGGTGTATATGCAGCTCGCACCATCGGGGTGTACGTACAGTATCTTCCGTACATCAACATTATCAAGATAAACCACAAGCAAAACCCTCACGTGCTATCAAAAAGCCTTTTTAGCATCTTCTCAGGTACACCTGAACGTGTACACTGCAGGGCAGGTACAGCACCTGGGGAGGGGAGATTTTGTTGCACGTTTGTGAACATAAGTCGTCATTTCTTCATTATTTATTTATTTATTTATTCGCAACAACAAAGTGACTGCACGGCAAACTGCAGCTGTCTTTTGCCTCTGCATCACCCGCAAAGAAAAAATCCTGCAGCGACCCCGTATGCTTCAAACCAGCAGCAGAAGCAGCAGCACCAACAGCAGAACCTGATTTTCCTGCTGCTGGTGTGCTGCCTTTGATAGAGGTAGCCCCAGGAGGCATTTGACCTCTGACTGGTACTGTGTGTTCAGGCTTAGACGGAGGAGAAGAAGCTTCTTCTATCTCTGCAAACATCAAATAATGCACGCACCATAATATTATTACATATTGCATTTGTATAAACAAACAAATACAAACACACTCATGCATGCAAACGCTTCGGTTGCAGAGGTGTGTGTATATACACCCGGAATAGAAGAGCGTATTTATATATATGTACGGCTGAGCTAGGTATCTCAGGTGTATTTGCTGGCTTCTCCTTTTATGTTTGCCCTTTAGTATTGTTTCTTTCAATGAAGTTGTTCCGGAAGTACACAAAACAAAATAGTGCTGATTACCAGAGTCAGGAAGGACAACTACTTCTTCTGCGACTGCTGCTGCTGCTGCTGCTGCTGGTTTCCTGCTGCTGCTTGCAGCAGAAGCAGCTTTTGCTGCCTCCTCCCTTGAGACCCCTCTGTGCAGCGTTGGCACTTCGTGCAATTCCTCCCCATCGCTTATCTGTTGCTCCTGCTGCGCCTGTTGCTCCTGCTCTTGCTGCTGCTGCTGCTGCTTGTGCTGCTGGTCGTGTTGCTTGTGCTGTTGGATCCTGCTGCTGGGCCCTTGCAGAAGAAGCTGTTGTTGAATTGCTGCTGCATTTTTTTTACTTTTGCGGTTATGTTTTCTTTCTTTACTCTTCTCGCCAAGCCCTGCAGCAGGGTCCCCAGAAGAGGGGCCCTCAAAGCAAACACTGAAGCGGGGTTTATACTGCAGCAAATCGAGATATTCTTTAGGGGTAAGAGTGGGAGGACAGCGAAATCTCGGGTGTACGTACACCCCATCAGGAGAGAACGGCAGCAAATATCTCCATACGGGCATATACACTTGTGGCTGCTGCTGCTGTTGCTGTTGCTGCTGTTCCTGCTGCTGTTGTGAATGCGTTTTCTTTCGTCGTTCTTTGCCGTTCTTCCTGCTGCTGCTGCTACTACTGCTGCTGCTGCTATTTCGGTTTGTTCGTTCAAAGTCGGGTATAAAGCCAAGAAAAGTTAATATCAACGCAATGCATGCATGCGGTCTTTCTGCTAGCAGCAAATGATGGCAGTGAGGGAAAACAACTAACGCATGATTCGGCAGCAAGCTGCACAAAAGGCTGCAGCAATCCACAGCTACCACGGGATCGTCTCCTCCCCACAGCAGCAAACACGGCGTCTGCTGCTTCCCCAGCTGCAAAAACAAAGAAACACGCAACCGGCAACAATAACAGCAACACCTAGAGCAAAAGGCACAAGCGGAAACAGCAGCAGCAGCAACACCAGTGCAGCAACACCAGCAGCACCAGCTAACCTGTGCATAGAGATCTTTTGCTTCCCACATGGGTACGTGAGTAACGCATCCTACAAAAGTGCTGACTGTTCCTTTCTTTGCAAATAGCTGCCAAGTTAAGCGCCGCCACAGCAGCAAACCGGAATCGAAAGCTCCCCCTTCTGCTGCTGCTGTTGCTGTTGCTGCTGCTGCTGCACCTGCGCCTCCTGCTGCTGCTCCCGCTGCTGCGCCTGCTGCTGCTCCTGCTGCTGCAGCTGCACTCGAATGTGACTGCCTCGGGTGTGAGGCAGTGCAGTTGTTCTTGTTGTTGCTGCTGCTGCTGTGTCTCTTTGCACACCTGTCCCTTCTCCCAATGCTGCTGCTGCTGTTGCCGCTGCCGCTGCTGCTGCCGCCACTCCCGCTGCTGCTGCTGCTGCTGCTGCATTCTTTAGTTGAGTGGGGAGAAGGGAGGTGTTGTTTCTTCGATTCGTTTCGCGTTGCTGTTGCTTCAGCCGTGTCTGTCTTTGTGTTTTTCTCTTGTTCATGGTTGTTGTCTTCTCTTTCTCCTCTGCTGTATCTCTGCATAAATAGACAAATATAAAAAGAACTTCTTCTTGTTTGTTCTCGTCTCCTTGTCTTTCCTCAGCTACGTGGTGCGCATATTGCTGCTGTGAGATGGTGCAAGCACAGTGCAGCCTCTCGTGTTTAGCGTTTAGGGTTTAAGGTTTAAGGTTTGTCTCGCCTTGATGAAGCTCTTCCTGTCGAAGCAGCAGCGACAGAGACAGCAGGGGACACAGAGATAACAGGGAGAGCAGCAGCAGCCGCACCGCTGCAGCACGGAGACAGGGAATGGCTTTTTAGGTATAAGGCCCGCAGCAGATATTAAAGAGACAGAATTCACCATAGTCGGGTGTCTGCATGCAAAGCGAGCCGCTATAACTCCCCCTGAGAAACAAACACAAAAAACAAAAAAAATAGATATAATAAATCAAATAAAATGAAGATAATAAATACAATAAATAAAACAAATAAAGAAAATCGAATACATCACAGTACACACAATAAATACGATACATAAATCAAATAATATAACTACAATAAACAAAACAAATATTAAAACAAATATCATAAATGGAACAACTAAAATAAGTCAAACAAATAAACAAATGAAACAAATCAAGCACATGAAGAAGAAGGACGACGAGAGAAACAAAACAAAACCAACAAAACAAAAAAAGCCTGAGCTCAAACAAGTTGTGCAACAGCACAAACAAACAAAACAAGCAAACAAAACATATAAACGACAAACAAACAAACAAACAAAACAAATAAACAAGCAAACAGGGTAACAGACAAACAAACAACAAATGAAAAAGCAGCAGAACGAAAACACACAGCCCATACATATTTATCTATATTTACAAAACGAACAAACAAACAAAACAAACAAAAATAACAAACGCACAAACAAACAAACAAGTATAACGACCAAACAAGCAAACAAACAAACAAAACAAATAGACAAACACATAATACAAACAGAAAAAAAGCTTGCCTAATTATCCTTATCTTACCCATAGAAAACCCAACAAGAGCTAGTTTTTCTTGATTGAGTTGCAAATGGGCGAGAGGTTCTTGTGCTTAAATTATTGAATATATTTAAGAATATACTAACCTAAAACTCTATTTATTCAACTACCTCTTTATTTCTGCATTTATTTCTTGTATTTGTCCTTATCTCACCCATAGAAAACCCAACAAGAGCTAGTTTTTCTTGATTGAGTTGCAAATGGGCGAGAAGTTCTTCGGCCTGATCGACAAAAAAATCGTCCGAGTATCGCCGTTTAAAAAAACGGTAGGCGGGAGAAGCGGACAAGCCATGCCCGTACAGATCTGCATACATGCAAATAAAAGAATAATAGACCATTAATTAATTAATTAATTAATTAGTAAATTAATTAATTAATTAATTAATTAATAGACAAGTACTTAAGACATCAGGTGCAAAGGGCAGATCCACTAAAAGCTGATGGTGCTGTCGCTAATGCTGCTGCTGCTCCTAATGCTGCTATTGCTGCGGCTCTTTCTGCTGCTGCTACTACTACTGCTACTGCTGCTATTACTGCTGCTGCTGCTGCTACTGCTGCTTGTGCTGTTGTTGTTGCTTTTGTGTGTGCTGCTGTTGCTGATATGACTATCTGCGTCGGTTTATTGGTGGGGACCTCAGCTGCTACAGTGCATCGAGCAGCAGGAGCGAACACTTGCAGCAGCAGCAATATTTGCCGCCGCCGCCCCAGCAGCAGCAGCAACACTTGTGGCAGCAGCTACAGCAGTCGCAAGGAGCCTCAGCAGCAGCAGAAGCACCAGCACTGCAAGCACCATTCTCGGCCCACCAAAAACAGCAGCAGCAGCAGCAACATGAATCGCAGAAGCAAGAGATCGACTGGAAGAGGAAAGAGAGTAAGACGCCACAGGAGACAGCCAGCAGCAACAGCAGCAACAGCACTGCCCACAGCAGCAGCGAATCCACCAAAAGCAGTAGCAGCAGCAGCAGCTAACCAAAAGTGATAACTCTGTATCCGAAGCCGGCAAGGACATTTTGAAGGTCTTGAAAAGTTTGCATCGATCCGTTCAACCCGTGGAAGGTCAACACCTACACACAAACCCTAAACCCTAAACCCTAGACCCTAAACCCTAAAACATGATTCCTAGACCATAAACCCTATGCCGCAGGTCTGCTACTTTGGAGTGTCCATACACCTCAGGCTGCTTCACAACGTTGCCGTGTCTGTTTAGGGTTTGGGGTCTAGGGTTTCTGGTGTATGTGCGTTTCGTACTGTTTTATTGTTCTGAATTCCTTTGACTGAGTAATTGACGGTTCCGTATTTGCCTTGAAACGTTTGGGTGTATGCACAGGGTGCAGATACACCCTGGCGCTTGAGCCAGAGAGGCACGGGATAATCTTTTTCTACGTCTCTCGCTGCCGTGTCTCTTTGTATTATATCACGCAACGAATTTAAATCAGGAGACAAAGAAGAACGTCCGCCGCTGGAGCGGTGCAGCAAACCGCTAAGCAGCTTAAAGCCGCTCTTGCGTGGCTTCGCGCCATCCTGCTGATCCTGCTGCTGCTGCTGCTGCTGCTGAGATTGCTGCTGCGGCTGCTGTTGCAGCGGATGCTGCTCCTGATGCGAAAGCTGAGGAGGCTCCCGACGTTCTAGTTGCGGCTGCTGCAGACGCCGGCCCTGCTGCTGCTGCTGCTGCTGCTGCTGCAGCTGGTGCCGCCGCTGCT